TTAAGATCATACAACATATATATATATATATATGTTAAATCGAAATGAGTTGTTTGTCTGAAAGGCGATTATCCGAGTGTGGGCATTGCAGTGTCTGAACGATGGAGCCGCAAGGTATTAGGTGTTGGTTACTACTTCTGCAAATCCTGGGCGACGTAGAGCTTCTAGTGAAGTTACTTGTCCAAAATCGTAGGCTACTGTCGAAAGTTTAAACACGTTAAAATTAGATAGATTTGTTGCTGCTCCTAGAGTAAAACTGAGTTCTGAATTTTTATTCTCAAACTAATGTTTAGTCAGATAGACTGTTATCTTTACTATAATGTTGTGACAGTTCTCAAGTAGAGCACATTTAATTTTTAATTTTATTGTGTTGTTGCCTGCATGAACTTTGATATGCCATTTCCATCGCTATACCTCTGCGGAATTAATTGGCACCTAATATTTTAAAATCCATAGAGCTAGGTATAAAATTACGAGAAAAAAATTCTGAAAATCCAACATAAGCGTTTTGTGAATGTACTGGCGATCGCATTAAGGTAGTGCTAAATTGTAAAAAAAAGAAATAATGATATAATGTTTCAAAAATGCTGTTACGATTTAGTGAATTAACTCTCAGTAAAACTGTACTGTATTTTGAAGGTATTTGGTACAGATCAGTAAAATGGCTCAAAGAACAAATGAAATGCCTGTACTGGAAAGAAATATGCTAACCTCAGCTGGATTCGATCCTAGGAAAGCGAACGACCCATTAAAGGGGTTAGGTAAATTATATACGTTTTTATAGTAACTGCAGAGGTAGACAAACGTTTTGATGGATCGTAGTCGTTTGTACGTTTTTTCGAAGAGTTTATAAGATATTTCTCGCGCCTTCCTAGAGTTCCTTCGTGGTGTGGTAGTCTGCACGCTAGGTCGGTATTCCAGAGGTCCGTGGTTTGATTCCCGGGGAAGGCGTTGCTAATTTTTCATCTTCCCTGTTTCTAAAAAATACCTAATGTCTCTACAAGTTAATCTCTTTACTGTACGAAGTACCACATCCCCATAAAACATTTATAGCGGCATCAGCTTTTAAACGCCAAGCTATAATTTGGTTTAAGTATATTGCTAAAACCTTAACTAGTCTGGTCGGTCCGCCGACACATATAAAAATTTTATACAAGCCGTCTTAAAAGCATTTTCCGCACAATAAAATAACATTAGAAAATGAACTGTATATTAGATTTCAAATGGAAGGCGAGGAAATGACAAAATTCATTGTACGAAAGATTGAAATTTGTAGGTTGTATCATGGTGGGGAAACAAATAGAATTCTTCCCAGATTGTTTCCGAAAGAACAAGATTTTATTGAACTTAGAAGTCCTAAGTCACTAAACGAGCTGTTTCGGTTATCTATGAAGTGCGAAAGTCGAAGGTTAGAAAATGAATACAGACTAAACAGAAATATTTTTGTTGTAGTTTTGCAGAGAGGATCGAAGAGATGATTAGGAAATATCCTGTAAAAGGTCAAGCTGATAATGTTCACCAAAAAAGAGAAAAAACGGGTAGTGGAGGTCATACGTCCATAAATTCTGAAAAATCCTCTAAGCAGTAGAAAATCTAGAACATCTTAGTTGCAAATATTGTTGAATGGTATACCGGTTAAACCGTTAACTGGTTCAGAGAGTGATCAAAGTTTCCTCTACGCTCAATTTTTCTATATAAGTATTTTCGAAAGTACAGGATCTTTAAAGTGACATAAATAGAGGAGTTCGCCGGATTTTAGTGAAAATTGCATTACATTAGACGTGTCAAAAGTAAAAAATGAGCCGGTATCTTTGGTATTGCAGAAACTAGCAAACTATTTAGTTTTCGCCCCAATTTCGAGGGAGAATATCCCGCGGAGCGGTCCGAAGGTGTCTCCCACCCCTCTTCCTCTAACACTAACCTCTCGAGGATGGCTTTCGGCTTGCCATGTATCTTGAGTGTCCCCCTTGCCACACAGTCATTCTACCCTCATCTCTGCAAACATACATTTCTTTCCTGGAATTCGAACTCGGGCCCATTGGTAGGGTATTCAGCCAAAGAATGTCTCTTTGATTCAGCGTCACTAAACACTATACCGGCTGGGCAGCTATGGACATGATTTATACTAAATTGGCAGTGGCACTGTTATCGTTCGCTTGTAGGAAGAAACCGCTAACCACAGCAGATGACTAGCGTGGCTCGTAGGTCTAAATATTAGATGAACTCTGACTATCAGTGAGAGTTGTAGCTTTGGATAGTTTACTGGAACTGTAATTTAGTTAATTTACTCTACCGCTGATCACAACAGATGATCGACGTGGCTGGAAGGTTTAAATGTTAGATAAACTCTGGCGACCAGTGAGAGTTATAGTTTTGCAAAGTTTACTGGAACTGTAATTTAGTTAATTTACTCTAAGTTCCAGGAAGCTGCTGTGCCAAGAACAGCTTTACTATTGCGCTTTTATTGTACTAAGTTAAACTTGCTAATGAAGAGGAAATAATGTGTTAACTTTTACATTTTGTGCTGCATCTTGCGTTGGTCGTCAGAAATTAGCAAAAGTTATATTTCCTCGCCATACAGAGGTAAATTCTAAGGGTGAACAGGATAGAAGAAGCTTATTAGGCAATTATTATCTTGTAATCGTTATAAGGATATGACAGCGAAATGCTACATGTTCCAACCTACGAAATATCTGAACCGAATTCTGTTTCGCTTATAACATTTCTTTCAGCCCTGAGTTAAATTGGCATTGTCAGTAATGATCGAAAATGTGTCTCACTTTGCCTCGACAGAGAAAAATAGAGAAAGAGTGAGCAACTGAGGAAAATTCGTTTCTCCACACGGTAGTGCTCTTACTTCAGAAGGAAAATATCTTCAGATTAATTAGGGGCAAAATAAAGAAGTCAAAGGCAAAATAAAGAAGCAGTTTTACATGACTTTCGGGGAATTCTGTGTTCAAAATACACTAGTGTGCAAAATTTAAGTAACATTTCTGATTTTCCCTCGCAATTTCACAAACATCAACTGGGAGACATGAAATGTAGACCCACACCAGTGTGTCTAAATGTCAGTCCAGTGTGTGCCAGTGTGTCAGCCCAGTTCGGAACAGACGGAAAAGAAAACAGCGAGACACCGGCCATGTGTATCTTACATGAAACATTTCGAGCTACTTTCGACTCCTCCATTACTCAAAAACTTATAGACCTACAAACAATTTTGTATACATAATAGAGCTCCCTTGAGCACCCAGAGAGACCCAAGTTTCTTTGATCTACCTCTTATAGTTATGGAATTGTTGAGGTCTGAAAAGTGTCATTTTTATCACTCACTGACTGACAGACATCAGAAACCTAGACCACTTCTAAACGACTTAGATACTTGAAATTTGGCATCAAAGTAGATCATTAAGCATATACAAAGAAAAAATCTAAAACATGAAAAAACTACATTATTATCGACTTTAAACCAAATAAACTCATTACGAGCATTTGACAACGTCACCAGTAGATGACTTAATACCGATCGCCGAATTCCGCGCCACTCAGATGCTAATCAACTTTGCCGAAAGTAAAGAATCAAAACCTGTTTATAATAGAGGAAATGATAGCGCAGAGGTAGATTGTAGGACCGGCTCTTTATTCATTTTGGTAGTGGGTTCGCCGCTAAATACGGCGATAAAGTAACTACAGCGATATTGAGAAAAGAATGTAAACTTTCAAACGATAAAAGGGTTTTGGTTTAGTAACTCAAATTTAAGTAACGAAACAGATGCCAGATGCAAATAAAACAATAGTAGTAAAAAGACGAAACATGAATATATACTTTAAAATAAGAATTAAACATTTATATTGTTTAATAATTAAAAATAGCTGTTTAAACTTCCTGTTTTTATTTTACGTCCCTTTAAAATTCTAAAACTTTAAAAAAAACTACATTATTATCGAGGTTAAGTCAAATAAAATTAGAATCCCTAAACCAAAATTAACGATTAATTGATATTATAAATAATTTTTAAGCGATGCCTGACAAAACGGTATTTTTGCCTGCCTCTTAAAATATGTGTAACCAGCTCAATAATGCAATGTTTCTAAGTATGGAACAGTCAGATATCAGATTATATTCCACAGATGAAATAGACTGCCCGCGGTACTTAACTAAACAAACAAGGGAAGCTTTAAAGAAAAATGAGGATAATTCTTCATTAACTGCAGGCTTAGAAAATGTCAGGTTTAGTCAAAATAGGAGCGCGTGGAATGCTGCGTAAGAACATAGACGTTAGCAAGTGGCTGGTAAATTGATCGATTGGAGAAATAAGAAAAAAATACTTTGGAACGTCGACAACCATAACAAAGCAAGAAAAATTTTAATTAAATTCAGCCATAATATACTATACAAGTTAGAACGAGTGAAGACCTAGTGTCAGATAATGAATAATTCATATGTTCACCAAAAACAATGCAATAAGAATTCACAGATCACAAGGCCTTAGCACGACTTTGTTCGATTCCGCCCCCAAATTTGAAAGAGAGATCCCCTGACGATCTTCCGCCCCTCTTCCCTCTTCCCTTACTAACAACCTCTCGAGAGGCATTTCGACTCGCTGCATATTTTGAATGTCCCCATGCCGCACAGACACCATACATTTATGCCCCCGGGGGTCGACGTAGAGAATTCTGCGAAGCTACTGGCTAGGATCTGTACCTAGGCAGTCTCGGCCACGGGGGTATAAAATTTATGAACTTGGTGGTTCTGAAGGCTCTGGGAAAGGTCACTCATTGGCCGGTCTCGGAGTCTGGCATGTCCTAGCGCGGCGTGGTGCTAGTAACCCGGGGGTTATCCCCCGGGGTCGCTGGGTAATGTCCCGCTGCGACGGGCTCGCCCGAGCGACTGGCAGGAGCATTAGACGACCGGTGCTGCCTGGTGTCATATCCAGGTGGTGCGCGGCTCTACTGGAGGGCAATAGTGGAGGTTGAACCTCCACGACGTCCCCAAAGGTAGAGTCGACCTGTAGTGAGATTAAGTTTACTCGGAGCAGGGCAGCCGAAATGCTACCATACATTTATGAGTATCCATGCCTTTACCAAGATTTGAAGCCAGTCCCAGGTACGCTAGTCAGTGTCACTAAATATTTCCCGGGTGAGCGGCTCTTTTCAGTCTTTCTTTGTAAACTCTAATAAAGCGAACATATTTTAAGGGTCTTGAAAACATATTTTAAGGGTTAGTTAGTATGGGAAATCATTACCAGTCGACTATTAGTACATCGCTAGTTTCACCCATACACCTGTGCTGTGAAGATAGTCCCTGCAAAGAATTTCGATGCACTATGCTTTAGTTGTTTTTTTAAGACTGTGTATTAAAAACCGTAATGTAATTGAATTTTCAAAAATGTTAGCAACACTAAGAAATGATCATCTTAGGAAGTATTTATCATGAAAAACTTTACTACATTTCCTACGCCGCATTCAATTATGTTATAAAACTTGGAAGCAAAAGAATATATTTGCTGCAGCAACATAATCAAACGAATTATATTCATATTATTTCATCGTATGACTCGTGGATTTTTGTATTCATTTGATGTCTACGCTTCGAAAACTAATTACTTGTTGCATTATATATAACAAGGGATTAAATGCGATTATCTGATGAAGTTTTATTGGTTTTAAGTACACATTTATATTCGCGAACTGAAAACCCTTTTTTAATGTGCCATATATTATGTTGTGTATAACTTTATAATATACTTTATAACTTATACGAATGAGACTTATTTTTTTTAATTTACGGTTAGTTTTAAAGTTAGTAAATTATGAATAAAAGGTTTTATAAAACAATAACTTAACCTCTGGTACTTCCTTCTGAAGCTCCTTTACGGTAAAACGTAACTTTGGGGGTTGTTGTCCCTTTTGTCTGCCTGTTGAAATCTATGGAGAGAAAAATGTTCAGCTAAAAGCACATTTACCACATCAAATAGAAAAACAAAAAGTTTGAGTCAATAATGAAAATAAACGATAAAATGAGCATTCGTTTGAGCTATTTATCAGTTTTCAAGATTTTTCTCACACAAAACGTAAATTTTGTTATTTTAAAATTTGTAAATGCGTTAGAGAAGAAACATAAGTTGATTTTATAAAATTAACATTGATCTTCCTTTAATAGGAGTAAATTAAAGCGAACTGACCTAAAATCGTATTTAAAATTTCAAAGGAAATAGGCAGTTTAGAGCAATTTCTAAAAACGCTGATATTTAGACCTAGAAGTATAGGTGATAAAATTGTAAATTTCTGGAAGATCTTTAAGTAAAAAATCTTTTCTTAATGATCCAAAGAAAAAAAGTTATTTTAAGCTTTCTTAATAAATAATAAGAATATGTTAGTTTTTAAAAATTATTCTCTGTACTGAGTTTTGGCACATGAAGGATCTTTAATGATGAATTAGTGGATATTTGAGCAAAATAAGATGAAACTTCTCTCTTATCTAAAGACCTAAGTATTCCCTCGCCATTAATATGCCTCAGAAAAATCTGTAAAAGAAGTGGTCAAGAATTAAGATACAACAACACGCCGAACAAACACTAATTCAGAAGTTAAACAACAAAAATCAGCGTAATATTTTTCAAATTTTCACAGGACTAGTTTGGATGGTTTTACCGAACCATCATTCTCAGCTGCAAAAGCGCAAAGGAACGAGATAAGATATAATGATTAGATAAGATAAACTAAGAAAATCTGGACAGGAGACAAGCAATTGGCGCCATCTGTTGATGAAACCAGAACTAAAACATAATTTCTTTTAAAAAGGCTGAAGGCAAAGATGGATTGGAATTAGGGTTGTTAACTAGAACTGAAAGATTTTTTTAATGTGAAATGCCTACAGAAAAATCCAGTTCACCAATGGAAGATGTTTTTAAATAATTTTGGCAGCAGAAAAATTGAAGTTTATTCTCCCATCAATAAAATTCGAGTTCCATACTCAACGACCGCATTCCGGATATGAATTCCTGGGGTATTTACAGGATTTCTTGCCAGTGTGGCTTAATTTACATTGGCCAAATTAACAGAACCTTGAGATTTCGTGTTAAGGAACATGAGGCATATGTTAGAAAAAAGGAAACACTGAAGTCTTCTGTTGCCCAACATTGTTGGTCCGAAAATCACACTTTAAATTTTTCTGCTGCCAACATTATTCAAAAAACATCTTCCACTGGTGAACTGGATTTTTCAGGGGCATTTCACATTCAAAAAAATCTTTCTGTTCTAGTTAACGACCCTAATTCCAAATCCATCTTTGCCTTGAGCCTTTAGAGAAATTATGTTTTAGTTCTGGTTTCATCAACAGATGGCGCCAGTGGCTTATCTCCTATCCAGGCTTTCTTATCTTATCTTATCTAATCATTATATCTTATCTCGTTCATTTGCGCTTTTGCAGCTGAGGATGATGGTTCGGTAAAACCATCGAAACTAGTCCTGTGAAAATTTGAAAAATATTACTCTGATTTTTGTTGTTTGACTTCTGAATTAAGTGGTCAAGAATAATGAGAAGCAGCAGTAAGTCTCATCAATAACTGGCAATTGAACTCATCATCTAACTCGTAATCTCATGCACTTATAAATTAAAACTAATATTGATTTACTTTATACCATATTGAATATTGCCCATTCCCTCTTGATTTAGTCTTTCTCTGATCAAAATCCAGAACTCTCAAAATAGGACATCGGCCACTAGCATACTTGCTATAAATCGAAGAAATGTGTGGAAGACGTGCAGTGTGTCTTCAAAATATTCATAGTTGCATAACTATGCTCTCTAAACGATAGGTTAACAACCCAGTGATTAGCCGTCCCGTTAGCTGAGCGAAATGCAAAATATCTATTTATTTCCTAATAAGTCATATGCCAGCCAGATTTGCAAACGTTGGCTTAAGGTGCAAGAAGAATGAAAAAATGGAAGGGTTTAAATAATTGGTCTTTTGAAAACTTTCCCTCCAAGAAAATTCCACTTATGCGAATCAGTCCAGGGCTTAGGAAAGTGTTTTATTCGTAATAATATTAAAGAAAGCGCTTTGCATGGCAAAATTCAGGGACTCAGGAAATGTCTTGTAGAAAATATAAATGAAATAATATCTGTTGCACAAAAGAATGCTTACTTTCATTTGCAATGACAACGTGTTGTATTACACCATACTTTTCATTGCATGATCGCAGTTAGTATACAGTTAGCGCTCGTTTAAATGCATATACTTTAAATGATTACTGAATAAAATTTATTGCCATCCCAGTTTCAGGCAATGGGGTAATATTTTCATTTGTGGCCCAAAAGTAAAGTTACCTTAATACTAAAAGTAAAAAAGGTGGATAAAGAAAGACTAAAGTTTGGTCAGTTTGATCATCCTTAAAAGTTTATAAAATGAATACTTTTCTAAGTTTACCTTTTGTTTACTTTTAAGTCAAGCCTCTTGTGATTGGCAATTATAATTTCATTCTGCCTAATTTTCCAAAACGTAATTTCGTACGGCTGTATACTATTTTCTTCCTTTTTATAGCAAACTCTTTACTTACAATATTTTTCATTTTATTGCATTTATTTTATAAACACAGGCACATAAACATAGTGCCATGTTACGCTCCAACAGCCGATAACAAAGGCAGTGCGCTTTTAGCGGAAGACTTCATATTTGAATGATGGAGTTAGTTCTCGTTAAATTTTGTAATCAGTTTTATTGCTGTTCGATGACACTCACAAGACTAGCAGGTTATCAGAGTTGAAATTTTCAACGAGCTGTTTTATACGCAATACATAAATAAAAATTAATCATAAATAATTAACATGAGTTGGATCTAAACTCTAAATATTAAGTCTGAAAGCAAACGTTTAACCTCCAAAATTGTGAACTATTTTCTGCTTGCGGATAAACACGATAGAGCAAAGGCTAAATCTGCGTAACAATGTGGTATTCGGTTTTGTCTGCCGAGGATAGCTGTCGTTTTGCTGACACTGAAAATGTATCTCAAAGTTGTTGAACTACGAGACGTTTTTGACAACCAAGCTGATGACGTTATGAGGTTAACAAGACTGTTGAATTTCTCGCCAGCCATGCTGATAATAAAGGATATTACATGGAAGTGCACAGAAGTCTAATTTTTTGCCGATCTGAACAGGATGGAACTGATTGGCTTGATACTAATGGTACAGAACGTAAACTACCAAACTGAAAAGCCAGCTGAAATAAATTATCGAGAGTTTATAAACCAGAACTCTAGAATCATTTATGCACATGTGATAGGTATACTAGTTGAATAAAAACAAAGTTACGCACTATTGATTAAAGCTAATTGAAAAAAAGAAAGAAAAAAGAACTTTATCGTCAGTATAACAGAGCTAGTAACGTCTGTAAAAGTATAATCTCTCAAGCGAATTCAGACTTGGAAACAGCCATTAGAATGAGGTGGTGTCTTCCTCAAACTGAATTTGAACGTGGAGAGAGGTTACTCTACCGATTTCGTGGGACATTAGAGCTATTGCAAAATGCGAAGCCTGAAATATAAGATTAGCCATCCTCCACAATTTGCAGTCGTAAACAATCGAAATCGAAAAAGAGATGCATTCAAGGTAACTACTGGAACTCGGAGAATCTAAACACGTCAAATTACCAGCCCAATCCATTCATAGATTAACACACTTTTATACAATCATGTCCATTATTAGCACGGATGGAGGCTTTTCCTGAAGTTCTGCGTATGCATGTAAAATTACTGTCGATCTTTCGCAATGCACTGTATACTATACCATCCAATATTCGAAAGGTTTTTATATATTAGGAGAGTTACTTTTATTTCTTTATTTATTTACTTTTTTAGAAGGGACTTTAATGCATTATTTAAACTCTAAGTACATATGCTGGGGGGTTACTTGCATTTTAAAGAATCAATAAATCATTTAGAAAGTGACAACTTAAAGAGCTTGTTATCATAGCCATATCTAAACTTTCTAATTTATTCAAACTTTCATAAATTATTAAAGGTTTCTGTATTATTAAAATACAGAAAATATTTAATATCTGCTTCTAAATTCATATGGTACATACTGTTATTGAACATAGAATAAAATTTTAATTACACGCGAAACTTTGATAAGTTACCACTAGTATTCATTCTCATATGAAAACAAATTAAAAATTGTACATTCAGTATGAAGGAATTTGAAATTTGCATGTAATATTAACAAAGTAATCAAATATTAAAAACAAAAACGATAGGATTTGAGGTAAAAATAAAAATAATTACTTTAGCAAGGTATGTTTCAAAATCGAGAACTTCTCTTAGTTCTTTACTCAAAAGAGAAGATTGTCCGAGAATATAATTTTCTAATTTCTCATCATCGTATATCAATATATAAGCAGCTTTTAGCATCAGTTGGAAGTAAGCATATTTCACGTCATCTAATAATCCACTTATCAGATGTTCACGAGCTATTCCTAATGACGGTTGATCCAACTAAAAGGAAAATAAAAATAAAAGAATCGGAAAGGATTCAGGTTTTAACGTTCACCCAAAAGAGCTCAGTTTAATATGCTTTATCAGTAGGCATCATCAATAGACATGGCCAAGGTAGAATATTTTATTATAATCAAACTAAAATCAGTTCTGTATTACATAAAATAAAAAAAAATTATAATTTTTAAAGCAGATTCTAAGGTGTTATAAGGTTTGCTATTGTTTGACGTCAGTGACTCCTAACTAGCAACTATTCCCTTTGTGACTTCTTTTGTACCACTTGTGTAGTAGGTGACGTCAACTTTGTTTGCCTACTGACCTTTGCAAATGCTTTCAAATGACGTTATTACTGTTTATTTTAAAATGGAAATCATGTTACTTCTTCCAAGGCAAAACCTTCAATTAGTTTTTCGGTTTAACTTTTAAAGTTAAGCATACGAGTGATATCTGGGTAAGCGAAACTTAGTCTTATTTACATTACACATAAAGATACTACAGATAGTATACATTCCATCCCTGGTAACAAAATTTCTGGTTGATTATATAAATTGCATTATAGCTCAGATAAAGTAATAAATTTGATAAGATTTTATTGTGAAATAGGATTAATCATACTTTATTCATGATACATTAGACCTATACCCTATACATGATACATTCTTTCCCTGGAAAACCAGTGAAAGATATGTGTTCTGTGTTAAGTAACATAATAGGAAAATCTCAGGGAGTCAAGTATTTTAAAATTTGTCATTTTGCTTTTGAAAAGTGTATATGAGTGTCACAAAAATTTAAATTGCAATATTCAGTTTGCTTCATAGGTTCCTCAAATATAGTCTTTGAAATTATGGGCAGAAAAAAAAACATTATATCTGTATTCAAATTGGGATTTGTATTTCGTATTCAAAATGTGATTTTCACGGGTTAAGGTGGTATTACTGATCTGCTATGATGAGAGTTTTAAGGAGATTATATCATAAAGTTTTTATACTGAGGAAGGGTTACGGTTAAGGCATTGAAATGTGATCTAACGTGGTTACCCCTAACAATGAATTTCTTTCGTTGGTTTAATAGATACAATATGTTGAGTAAATTTATAGTCCGCATTTTTCAAGCTTTAGTTCTTAATAAAATGCATTAGGAAGTGAAAGAAAATTAACATTATGATTGTGTTAGTAAATTAAAATAAACTGACATTATAAAAGAAGTTGTAAATCAATAATGTAAGATATATGTTTGGAAACAATACACTTGTAAAGTTTATTTCCTTAGAAAGATCGATAGAATACATAGAAAGATTCGTCGTATTTTTCAGTTAGGCGTTTCGTTTAAAGCTAAGGTTTCAAAATAAAATTTTGTGTAGCATGGTAAACAAATCAATTTAAATTTCTTACTATGAACCTAAATCCCTTTTTTAAAGATTAAAACGGCATTTTTAATATGTGTGATTAAATTCAAACATTTACTTTATAACAACATTACAACTTACGGTATTTAAGCCGACATTCAGAGAATTTTCACATTTGATTGGTTATCTCCAGAACGGAGTAACGGATTTTAATGAAATTTGGGGTGGGAATAAATCACAATGCACACGTTATTGTATGTAAGGCTCGTCAGCGCAAGAAGGGTGTAAGACACAATTACAAGGTCAAATAAGAATAACGTTATAGCGGGTATAGTTCTCTCTGCTAAGTATACAGCTTTCGCAATGTGCCTTAATAGTGGAAATGGAGTAGTTTATTAGTCTCTGCCGCAGTTTGTCCCAGTTTTTCAACAACGCTGGTTTCATTTGGCAGGGTTCTATGAAGGGGAGGAGAAGTTGCAGCTGCACTTCGGAAGGCTTCCCAGATAGGTTCTATAGGATATGGGTCTAGAGATCTCGCTGACCAATTTATTTGGTTGATATCGTCAATTTCCAGATCATCCACCAAATTTGTCTTCAGTGAATGAGCATTGTCATCATAAAAATGAATTGAAGATCAATTGCACCTCAGGGAAAAAAAAAAAAAAAAAAAAAAAAAAAAAAAAAAGAGCTCTGAAATCACTTTTCTATACATCGCAACAGTCGTTGAGCCTCTGACAAAGATATGAAGCACTGTATCGGTATTCATCTGCATTCTTCAGTGATGGAATTCTTCAGTGATGGTAGGTCCAAGTCAATGTTCTCTACCTCATACTCTAAGAATAAACTCCACCCCAAACGTCGCAAGTAGACAAATAACATGGCTGATCTAAGGCCATGGTCTTTTTCCCTGATATTTCTACAAGAGGAATCTCGCAATTTGAGATCTATGTGTATGTGGGTAGAAGGTGGATTCAGAGCATTACCTATTCACATGCACCATTACAATAAGTCTGCACCTGAGAAGACCCAGACTAGAACAAGATGTGACACCGTACATCAGATTCGCAATCAATGATAGCCATATGAGGAAGTGCGTAACCCAAATAATGGATATTCTAACATTGACGGGTCTAAACCTTGCAACACAGAGCGATCCCACTCAAATCAATATGCAAAGAAAGGCCCAATGATTATTGTTTGAATTTCTAGTTGAAATCGGTTGCAGCAAATAATGAAAGCATTTCAAATTACACCCAAACTCCATATAAATGGTGCGAAGCACCTAAGCATACCAGCAAGTCAACGAATCAACATGATTAAATCACAGATGCTTTAAAAAATCGAAAGTGCAGAACAATAACCAAAGTGTGTAAAAGAACTCAGTATATGGATTTTATCTGCCAGCAATGAATGGCTAGGTATAAAGAACATGCAGTTAAATACTCCACCAGCCAAAGTAGATTTAAACATATCGCAAGATAACCGGTGACACCCCCAGCGGTGACAGAGCTTGTGATATCGGTTGCACCAGATAATAGCGGCACCTCGGCACCAGAATGGTACCGTGGGTCCCAGGAAGGTGTTGCTAACCTAGATAGCTAGTGTAAGGTGCCTATACCTACTTACTCAGGGTAAATAATAAGTGGTCCCTGCATTTATACCTTACTTCATGCTAAATGAGTTTTGAGCATGGGTGGCCAGCAGGACGCAAACATCAAAAGTTCTTGCAAATACACAACATTTTTACTTCTGTATTTACGTTTTTAGGGAAAGAATTGGCTCTTATTATTTTTATAGATAATATAGCTCGTCCACATAAGGCTGAACTGCTGGTTGAGTTTGTGAAAAGGGAGAATTATGAACCGAATGGATTGGCAGTCAGACCTCCAGACCTACATGCTGTGTATTAAATCTGGAAAAATCTTGGAAAGGTACTTGTAACTCATCTTCCAACTCCCAGAATCTTCTAGGGCCTAAAGGAGTGCGGCCGACTGTCACAGGGTCTCATAAACTGCCTCAATTCTAATATGAAGTCGCTTTGTATGAGCTATACGACTGTTAGAGAGTACTTTACCCCTATCTTACTTTTCATCCTTTGTGTATTACATCTGGAACACTCTTAGAAAGGTAATTGTAACTCATCTTCCAACTTCCAGAATCTTCTAGGACCTAAAGGAGTGCGGCCGATTGTCACAGGGTCTCATAAACTGTCTCAATTCTAATATGAAGTGACTTGTATGAGCTATATGACTGTTAGAGAGTACTTTAACCCTATCTTACTTTTCATCCTTTGATTTAGACCTTCATGAGCAGATGAGCCCTTCATGCACAATCATGCGCAGTTACCATTACTGTCTTTGCCACATTTTTGTATTTTTCCAATTTATGTCCATGAGAATTTCATTAAAATTTGTCCATTAATTCTCGTGGTAATCGATCGAATGTGAAAATTCTCTCAATTCTGAACGCCAGTGTAATCGCCAACAATTAATAGAAAAATCTTTGTTACAAGAATATATCGAATTTAGGTTCTGTGAAAGCGAATTTTGTTTTGAATTTTGCTATTTGCAGCAAATAATGTTTAATGGTCCAAATAGCTGTGAATAAGTTTTAGCACTTTTAGTTTGTACTTAATCGATTCAATGAATGATTTATTTTAAATAATGGACCAATTTTTTGAAACGCTTATAGTTATTTTTTTATACTTCAACAGAATAACAGAGATTAAAGAAAGGCAACAATTGACCGTCAACCTTTAGTATCCAGCTTTGAGAAGCTAGAAGTTTGAGTTGTAACTTAAGTTATATCCTCCAGATACCTGCATTTAACACTGTGCTTGAGTAAAGGTTTTTACTGATATTCGCATAAGCTCCCTAAAATTCTTTGAGAAATCCAGATTGCATTACAATCACTTTTGTGCGTAGTAACGAAAAATATTTGTATTCCTGACATTTTACTCACAATTTTAAGTTACATTACTTTTGTTAGAAGTTACCAAATCACAGTATTTATGACAATTTGAAAGCTTAATTTATATAATTTACTTCTGCACTCTAAGAAAGGCATGATATTAATAAATTCCTCAAGAAATTAAGAAATCGTACAATAATAATAATTAATCATTTAAATAATCATAAAAATTGAATTCATGGGACAAATTCTGTGGAATTGTTAAGTAGGTATTTGCTGCAACATATTTAGAAAACATTTTTCACAATCTTATTATCCGATAAGTAAAATATAGGTATATGTGGTTAACAAACCCTTGAAATGTAAATACTGTTATAAAGGATATTTTTGTTTTTTATTCGATTTAATATTTAAAATTATACAAACTGCAAGGTGCAGCTATAGGAACGACGCGCGCTCCAAGCGGCACGTTTTTAGGAGGGCAGCACTTTTTCTGCGAGTTATAATGTTATAATTATTGTAGACAATATTATAATTATTGTAGAGTTACAATTATTGTAGACTGGTGAGATAGAAAGAAAAAGCTGTTCGTAAATCGATAATCAGTTCGCAAGGTGATAACTGACTTGCGAAATTGAACTGAGGAGGGAAATTTTTTTAATTTGACAGCGTATTTGAAAAAACCATAACGAGATTTCAAAAACTTCACATTTTTGTTATACCTTTCTCTCTTTATCAAACTTTTTGAAGGAAAAACACGAAATTCAACTTAACATTAGTAAGAAAGAATTCTTGGTTAAAAAATACTTCAGAGATTTATTTCTTTTCTAACTAAGGAAAATAAAAAAGTAGAAATTAATCCGTTTCTACTTCTTTATTGTTCTAACATATAGTCTTTAAACTTCAATTCCAAATATTTTAAACACTACTGGTAATTTTTCTCACATTTGCTGCAATTGCTTCTAATTATGACAGAAGTATTCTTTTGCATAAAAGTCGATTAAGAAGACCCAAGACCAACAAATGAGTACCTTCCCTTTAAGAAATGTTCCAATATTGACTAAACAGCAAATGGAATAAAGAAACAAGTTCCTTTATCGACGATTTCACTAGCCGATAAGAAGCACCGTAAGTTTTCAGAAAACAAAAATTACGTTTAAAAAATTAGCACATTTTTATGTCTGTTTTAACTTTTTCTTGAAAATCGTTTTAAATAATTACATTATTATAATACATTATACACTTTGCAGCTTCTTGGCGGGTGAAGAGCGGGATACCAATTTCAGAAACTGCTGCGAGCAGCAAAATCTCTGATTGTGCCAATGTCAAAATTATTTCTCGTTGACATCCATTTCAAATTCTGATGTTTCAAATTGTGAGACTTTCTTGCAAGCTGTTGCCATTTTAACGCTTAAAAGCTACTGCTCCAAAGCCAAATTTATTTAAAAAAAGATAATTTGTTGTTTAAATCAAAAATACTTCTAAAAATTATTCATTATCATAATTAAAATTTGCCTTTTTGTATGATTTAAAAAATTCATAGCTTTGGGATCAGTATTAAAAAACTGTTACTTAACTTTTGAAGAACTTGTATTTGTGATTTAAATGTTTTCAGCAATTAAATCAATTATTTACTATTTATCTTAGTAAATATCTAGTATTACCATGAAAGTTAAGATACTGAATGCAGGTGTACCATAATAACCAGAATCAAGAGGCGAAAAATACTGTAATTTTATCTTTTCCTGGGTATTTTTATATGGCAAACTGAAATAAAATTATTTTCATAAACTTTAGTAATCACTAGAATGATACGCTTTTTAACCTTTTGACAGTCATCAACGAGCTCAGCTCACATTCCAGTTATGCACCGGTGGGAGCACAAACAAACACAGCTCGAATTACAGAGATACGACTGACAGATATGACACGTATTGAGGAGAAAGATTTACTTCATCTCGTAACTGTCGTAACTGCCTAAGGGTTAATTCTGATTATACTATTATTTTATTAATATTCTGTGGAGCTCATTGCATGTATATTGCTAAAATATTACGTTTTTGGAAACTGGTATATGATTTAAAAAAAGTAATGCTGAAAGCAAAGGTATAAAAATTCTAAAATGCCTATAATTATGATTCAAGCCTTATTCAAGAATAAACTAATTCCACGAAGTTATATTTTATTAATTTCAAATAGTAGTTGCCCTCATAAGCCTCTGACGATATCTGAAATTTTCACGTAATACCCCCATGTCCATAAATTAAGGATAATGCAAAATCAGGCAAAGGAAGAGTTAGAAGCAAAACAAATTTGACTTATTTGTAAAGCTTATTTTTTAAACAAAAGGTAAAGAGCAAAAAAAGATGCTATATGTTTGATATTATTAAAACAATTAGCGATTTTTTCTCCCTGGAGCAAATTACAAAAAAAAACCTATTTACAAAAGAACCAATATTACATGGTTGGTATGATTGTTAATACATTGTATGTCTCCCAGACGATGCAATACAGTCCGTACAACGCCTAGGCATGCTGAGTATCAAATTATCGATCTGATCTTGGGGGATATTACACTACTCAAAAAGCAATGCTCTCCTAAATTCCGGTAGACATGTAGGAGGAGGTTGACGGGCTGCAACTCGTCGGCCAAGCATGTCCCACACGTGTTCTACTGGATTCAAGTCCGGTGAGAATGCTGGCCAGTCCATACGGGTGATATCCTCCGATTGAAGGCATTCCCTACGATGCTTGTACGGTGAGGACGGGCGTTGTCATCCATAAACGCAAATTGTCCGCTCATGGCGCCCCGAAACAAACGTACATGTTGTTCCAGAATGACGTCCCGATAGATTTGGCTTGTCATGGTTTCAATTTGATCATGCAGGTCAGTTCTGGAACCCAGAATAATTCCACCCCAAACGAGCACTCCTGCACCACCGTAACGGTGTCGTTCAATGATGTTTTCTTGGTGGTAACGGAGCTCTCCATATGAACGTTCGGCGAGAATCAGACTGCAAGCTAAACCTGGACTCGTCGGAAAACATCACACAAGCCCACTGTTGCGGTGTCCACAATGTATGCTCTCTACTCCAGGCTAACCGCAGGCGACAGTGAGTTGCAGTAAGTGGAACGCATCTGACAGGTCTACGAGCACATAGACCAATCTGCCCTAAGCGTCTGTACACGATCTGCCTTGAAATTGTCGTACCAGAGGCTGAAGAGACCTGACGAGACAGGTCTGAGGCTGTGCTCCGCCTGTTTCTTTTGGCAGTAACTGCCAAATACCGGTCCTCATTCGGCGTTATAACTCTGGGGCGACCTGTGCTGTAACGTCTACTCACATTACCATCATCTTGGAATCGTTGACAAAGCCTGGAGATGATACTCTGGGAAATTCCAAGTTCGTCTAATACTTCCAGTTGGGTACGCCCACATTCCAGACGACCGATAATTCTACCACTTAAAAAATCATCCAAATGCCTCCTTTGTGTCATAACTATTCGGTTATTGCACTGAAATGTTTATAAAGCGCCTGCGAACAATTTTACTTCTTTGCCTGTATTCCTTATATATCACTCTCTTACACTGTCGTCATTGTGACGTACCATCGGTGTCATCTGGTTACTTCCGGAAATTTGCATATGATTCTTGAAGGTGTGTGTAGTTATTTTACGGGTAATATATTTATTTTAGAGTTCGATTTCCGCGTGACTCCGAATTATCCTTAATTTATGGACATGAGTGTAGTTGCAAGATTAAATTTACCAGTTTTGGCAATTAAGTGCGGAGGACTCTTTGACAAGGAAGGACCCTCAACAGCTCAACCAGGCAAATCGCCTACTCCTGGTAATGAAGCTTCATTTTCTGTTATGCAAGCATTCAGGTAGGTTGAAGGATCACAAGCTGGCAGTTAACTAAAATCGTGGACGTAACCCGTAAACTACGCTGAAATGAATCCCGGACTTTCTTCAATTTCTTTTTGCGAAATTCGAGGCAGTCTAGGACATGTTACTCTATCCAGGTATCCATTGTCTTGAAACTGCAGAAACCACTGTCGAATGTTCGCAGACTCCAGAATCCAGAATACCATTTTCGGCAGTTTTACCATTTCGAGTGTAAAATTACAACTGAATGTTCACCAATGGCAACGCATCCACAGACACTGCTAACAACTTTTGAAAGCTTAGAAACCTATTCTTCCAAATGATGAATGGCTCATTTCGTAAAGATGCTTGATTACGAAACAGAACTTCGAATTTGTCTCATTCTTTTTCAAGAATTCTGCATTTCAGCGCCTATTTCTTAATCTACAGATTTTTTTTAAGAAGCTGTTTTTAGAATTCGCTTTAATTATTGCATACAATCTCGTAAATAATTCAAATTAAATTTTATTAATTCTTTTCGACACAAAACTGTTTAACACAATTAAATTTAGTTCTAAATCATGCTTTCTTAGTAAAAGAACTTGTTCTGAGCGAAATGAACGATAAAATTATCAAGTACATCTTGTTAAGGCATGCATACGTACCTCTAGGTAATGAGATTCACCGTCTTTGGTCACAGACAAACTCATAAAGATATTATGATTGAAGCCCTTCTTGCGCATTTTGATGAGAGTATCCATCCAATCAAAAGAAGTCGGATCCCAGCTCTTTTTTCGTGTAGGCAGCAAACCTTTAAAATCTTTCCAACCCTTCCTTGGTGGTTCGCGATCCGGTTGATCGGTGCTTCCAATCTCAGCCAGCTTATCTTTAAAATCTTTCAAACCCCCCCTGCGTAATTCGCGATCCGGTTGATCGGTGCTTCCAATCTCAGCCAGCTTATCTTTAAAATCTTTCAAACCCCCCCTGCGTAATTCGCGATCTGCCCGCTCGCTGCTTTCTTCTACAGCTAGCCTAAGATCCTTCAAACCGTCCGTTAGTGGTTCGCGATCTGTCTGGTCGACGTTTTCTTCCACAGTCGGCCAACCTCCAAATTCCTTCAAAACCTTCTTCAGTGGTTCGCTATCCACCTGTTCGATGCTTTCTAGAAAAATGAAGAAATGTTATGTGAGCACAGACTAGAAGTTCAAAAGAAAAATGTGCAAGTCTAATGTTAAGACGTTTCATTAACCTAATCAGAAGCAGCAAGTCTCTCGTAGGCGCTTATTTTCCTTTACCCTCTCATAAATGATATACAAAATATAAGCAGTTATTTCTACTGTTTCATGTACGTAACGCTTTACTATGTTAAATGCTCCAAGAGATTACTACTATTCTAATTAAAGGAGTCAAAGAACCAAAATGTCAGACCCACACCATAATTAAACTGAAAGAATTATATTAAATTTCATAGAAGAGCTACCCAAAACTGGTGAATGGATTCAGTTCATTGTAACCTCTAGATACGTGAAATTCGAGATACGAGGAAAGTATGAGCGAAAAATTCGTCTCTAAATACAAGCATTCACTCGAGTTATGAGCAAGGAGCCAAGCAGTGGGTATGAGTGTCGCGTTTACTGATCTGGCTCGAGACGAGGAATCTCCTCGTCAGATCACTCAGTGTTCTTTGATCTACGTATTTATGCGATTGTGAGTTGATTGTTTTTTACATTTAAGGTGAAAATAATTATTTCACGATACCTCCCAAGAAGATTGTTGCCTCAGATAGTGCTGAAAGAAAACGAAGGAAACGATGACCGTTGAAATTAAGAATGAAATTATAGATAAATATAAGCGTGATTAAGGTGTGAGAGTGAAGGAATCGGCAAAGACTTACGGTCGTTCGAAATCGACGATCTGCACTACTCTGAAGAAGAAGGTAGAAATTAAGAAACTTGATGTGGCCAAAGGAGTTACCGTTATTTCCAAGCACCGTCGCAAACTCCTAGAAGCTGTTGCTGTGAATTAACGAGAAGCAGTTAAAAGGCGATTCGGTCTCGGAAGCTGTCATTTGTGCTAAGCCTAAGAAACTGTACTTGGATCTTCTCGGAAAAACACGAAGTGTATCGACTGAAGATGAGATGGGAATGAGACTTTTGGATGTGTGGAACGGATTAACTGGATTTCCACTATTTTCAGTGGCGAAGTATGTTTCTAGATACGAGAAATTCGCTATACGAACTTAGTGCTGGAACCAATTAAACTCGTAGCTCGAGGTTCCACTGTAATCCAAAATGGATGTTTACGTCAAAAGCTTATTTTGTTCCGAAAGTTCATTTTAATTGGCCTCAGATTTAAAATGCTCTTCATATTTGAAGATAAAAACTTAACTTGCAAAAATGGTTAGCAGAAACTGAGGTACTGCGATTATTTAAGAAACTTATGATTCCTTGCTAGCTTATCATAACAACAGTTAATATTCTAAGTTTGTACGAAAGTTTCGATCCAAAGTTGATATTTGTCAGTGTATTAAACAGTGATTTTTCCTTCCCTGGCTTATATGAAGAATTATTTGATTACTCTTTTACGAAAAGGCGCTCGAGTTAGTGCTTAAAAAAATAATTTATTTATTAAATTCTTAATTTTGATTTAATCCATGTCAATTCTGTTTAATTAAGTATTATAATTTGGGAAGACGTTGGCATCTCTAGATTTGATTTAATAAGTAAATGCTAAAATAATGAAATTTAGCAATTTAATTTAATTTAATTTTTTTAGTTTGAACATTGCAAAGCTATTTTCTATATTTCATTTTGAAATCATAACTGTAGTTTACAACAAATTAAGTCAAACATATTGTTGCGTGCGTACGGGTTCGTTATGAAATGAATGTAGAAGTCCGATGAAAAATGAACAAAAATTTATTATTATCACAACAAAAATGCTTAAATTTTCTCAAATTATCATGCAGTATTACAATATCTCACAGTAGTTATCTTTTAACTACTCAAATGTCCAATAGAACGTAATTCAAAACAGCTAAGGAACGTTAATCCGCGAATTCGCTACAATCAACAACAGTAGTTTTCTAAACAACAACAAACAAAGCAACTACTACAAACTGAGATGTTTTCCTCCTTTTATAAGATTTTAAAATCACGCGCTAGAATTTTCCAGTACTTTCTCGAAATCAAAAAAAGATATTTATTTATTTAACGCACGCGCTCTTGTATTTTTAATTTTTCCGGCTTAGCTTTCTTTTAATATTCGCCACGCGCTGCACTGCGCGAAAAATAAAACCATTTAATTTATAATTGAACTAACATTAGCTTTTTAAATACCAAATTCGTAACACTGCCCCCTTCCCAAGGACTGCACGTCCCGGGCAGTACAATCCCCTGGACAGGAAGCTAAACTTACAACAAATGCTTTTTTTTTTTTTTTTTTTTTTTTTTTTTTTTTTTTTCTTTTTTTTTTTTTTTTTTTTTTTTTTTTTTTTTTTTTTTTTTTTTTTTTGTGGCATAAATGCAACTGAGGCATAAACATTACATTACAATATCAAACAATATAAACAATAAATGCAATAACTAACTTAAACAAATCAAATGCTATCAAATACTAAATACAAAACAATACTAAATACAAATCAAATACAAAAAATAGAAATCAAATACTAAATGAAAATCAAATACTAAATACAAATCAAATCAAATACCCATTATAAAACAAAAAGGACCATGGTCTGATACTATTTACAATTATTTACATTACGTACTATGGCCATAGTAATGAGCTAACCTGTCGTAATGAACGACTTTAGGTTAGAGTCGAAGACTTACGAATCCGAACCACGACGTCATTCAGTCTTTTTAGGACTGTATACGGGCCATCCCAAGGTGACTGTAATTTCGGACAAAGTCCTTTCCGTCGAGTCGGATTCCACAACCACACCTTGTCTCCTTCGTGGAACTGATGTTCAGTAGCTCTTGTGTCGTAGCGGGTCTTCATCTTCTCCGTCGCCAAGTTGACTCGCTCTCGTGCAAAGTTGTGCATTACTTCAAACCGGGCCTGGAGATCTTGAATATATTCCTCAGGCGATGAAGGAGCATCCGGAGGGCGGCCAAACAATAGATCACAAGGCAGACGAAGGTCACGACCGAAGAGCATCTGTGATGGAGAATAGCCGGTAGTCTCGTGGACAGCACTGCGGTAAGCCAGTAAAAAGAGTGGTAATTTCTTGTCCCAGTCCTGTTGGTTTCTGGAAACCACTAATAAGAGGTTATTAAGGATGGTTCGATTGAACCTCTCTACCATGCCGTCCGACTGGGGATGCAATGGCGTCGTTTGAGTTTTGTCAATGCCGAGTAGTTTGCATAGTTCTTTGATTACTGTCGAGGCAAAATTCCTTCCCTGATCGGAATGTAACTGAAGAGGCACTCCGAACCTGGAAATCCAGTGCTGTATCATTACCTCAGTTACTGTGACAGCCTCTTGACTCTTGATCAGGAATAGGATAAGCTTCAGGCCACTTGGTGAAGTAATCAATGACAACGAGTATGTATTTGTTGCCATCAGCAGTTCGTGGCAGAGGTCCCAGGATGTCAAAGGCGATACGTTCAAAAGGCGCCCCTACGTTGTAACGTTGCAGCTTGCCTCGGCTGCGTCTCCTCGGTCCTTTCCGACCTGCACAGGCATCGCAAGATCGGCACCACTTTTGCACGTCATCCTTTGCATTATTCCAGTAAAAGCGCTCACGAACTCTCTGCAAGGTCTTCATTATTCCAAAGTGACCTCCAGTAGGGGTTCTATGTAACTCTTTAAGGACATCAGGAATGCGGGATCTTGGAAGTATAAGTTGCCATCGGAACGTCTTCCCATCATCCGATTCGAATTTCCGGTATAAGACGCCGTTTCGAATGTGAAGTGAATCCCAGAGTGCCCAATATTGTTTGGTTGTAGGACTACAGATAGAAATGTCCTGCCAGGTAGGTTTTCTGTTTGATGACTCCATTAAATCAATTATGGATTTAATGTCGCGGTCTTCCAGCTGGTCTTTCCTGACTTCATCATCACTCCACGGGTTCTTCGATCAGCCGATGTTGATGTGTTGTAATTTGTCTTGCGACCGGAGTCAGCAGCTCGTATTTCGCTTCCACCCTGGAACAATATTCGGCAGCTTTCTGTGCAAGGTCTTCTAGACAGGGCGTCGGCGTTTCCCGTGTGATGATCCCTTACGATGACGGATAGTGATGTCATATTCTTGGAGTCTCTGTATCCCACCTGGCTATTTGACCCTCAGGATTCTTGAAATTTAAAAGCCAGGTTAATGATGCATGATCCGGTGCGGAGCAGGAATTTTCTGCCGTATAGATAAGTGATGGAAACTGTTCTACAGCTTTGACTATGGCTAGCAACTCTTTCCTGGTGACACAATAATTCCTCTCCGGTTTAGACAGGCACTTGCTCCAGTATGCCACTACACGTTCTTGGCCGTCTGTTTCTTGGGACAAAACAGCACCAACACTTTCATTACTCGCGTCGGTGTCGAGAATAAATGGTCGGTCAAGCTGAGGATACGTCAGGATTGGAGCAGATGTTAAAGCCTCCTTTAAGTTGTTAAATGCATCCACGCATTCTTTTGTCCACAAGAACTTCTGGTTGCTCTCTGTCAGCTTGTGTAGGGGTCTTGCGATGGAAGAAAAGTCCTTCACGAATTTCCTATAGTAGGTGCAAAGCCCTAGGAAGCTTCTCAGCTTCTCAGCTGATGGACATTTTCGGGACGTTTCCAGGATTTAACGGCTGATACCTTTTCAGGATCCGTGCGCACACCTTCTGCAGAGATGACATGTCCCAGGTAAGTCACTTCCTTTCGGAACAATTTGCATTTAGCGGGACTCAGCTTCAGATTGGCTTCTTTCAGTTTCTGAAGCACCTTCCTAAGATTTTCTAAATGTTCTTCAAAACTCTTTCCGACGATGATGATGTCGTCCAGGTATATGAGGCAGGCTTCGTAGGAAAGGCCTTTCAAAACAGTTTCCATAAGACGTTCGAATGTTGCCGGCCATTACACAGTCCAAACGGCATCACCTTGAATTGCCAAAGCCCTTGTCCCGTAGTAAATGCCGTCTTTTCTCGGTCTTCAGGATGTATTTCTACCTGCCAATA